AAAGTGCTTAATTTTCCCTTTTGGAAAATGAGTTTTTTTCTTCTTTACCATGTTGATTTTGGCCATGTATTATGCAAAAACGTGTGTTTTCACATTGTTTTACTCAACGTTTTCACAATTCATTCAAACAGAATGCATTTTAACATACCATTGGTACGTAGCGTATGAAAGTGCCAATCATTTTGCATGTTTGATGAAATACTTGTGGGTCCGCATGTGCGTCTACTGAGCTGGATTCGGTGACATTATTGCACTTTCATGTGCAACTCTGCTGCATTTTGCACGATATTCTCCATTTCAGGCTTCATTTTCTACCCTCCGATATTGAACCAAAAAATCTCTCCATCTTTTTATGTTGGCTAATATAATCAAATAAGGAGTTTTTTTTTTCTATCAGAAACTAGTTATTTTCTCATGATCATGTAAGTCTTTGAAGACTATTTTGCATTTTGTTAAATGTGCATAGTGCTTGAAAATATTCTTTTAGTGCTTATTTTCTGTTGAAAAATTTGGCTACGCTCCCTGTTACTATGAAAAACCTTGTGATTGTAATTTGTTTCATTGTTTAAATATCTAAATTCATCCATGCATTATTTTTCCCCCCTGTTTCATTAAATTCCTTCTAATTAATTTTATTGGTTGAATATTTTAGGCCTGCACCAAACTACAGGGTAGATGCTGACAAAGGGTTCAATTTTAGCAATGCGGACGAGGCTTTTGTTTGCCAAAAGAAAAACCACTTTCAAGTCACTGTCCACATACAACCTGTTGGTGAGGCAGTCTACGTCAAAACTCCTGAAGGAGTGAAGAAAATAGACTACTTTTATTTACATTTCAATGGTGTTAAGGTATGTTTTCTTGGATATTTAATGAAAGACACGCTATTGTTTGTCTATTTTATTATATATTTTATAACCGTCATCAAACAGCCCACCCAATTTTGGGTTTTTCGACTAATAATGTTCAGCACTGTAGCCTTGTGGTTTTGAACCCAATCTAGTAGACAAGGGAACTACTGGATCAAGTATTAAAAACTTTATTTGTTTAAGAAATGGATCTTCTGTTGTTTACCATATTTTGATAAATGCTTTAAAACAGGTGCTTTGCGTTATTAACATAAGCTGTTTTTTTAATTGTTTAAAATTTTCAATTTTTGAAAAAGTGGACACTGTTTAAATTGCTTCAATTGTGAGCTGGCAAGAAGCAAAATTTCTTAATTTTCTTCTATTCAATATTCAACTCAACAGCTTTGTAAAATTTTGAACTCAATCGACACTCCTGATTAAAGCAATGGAATAAACTTGCCCAGAGCTGGATTATCCATTAGGCCAGACTAGGCCCCCTAAAAATGAATTTTTTGAAAATAAATTTTAAAAAATTAAGAAAAACAATGATTTTTTTACATACTGTTAATCATACTTATTTATTACTTATTTTAGTTATTATTTATAAGTACATATTATTATTTAAATAAAAAATATACGAGAATTTTTTTTTATCTAAGGACCCCAAAAATTTGAATGGCCTAGGGCCCTGCGTACACTTAATCGGACCCTGAACTTGCCTCCGTGTGGGACATTTTTGATAGGATTAACCCCATCTGCAAAGCATGGAAGTAGCCAGCTTTTGCAAAACTTCCCATGGCCAACTTATCCACTCGCAGATTTTAACCGATGATCTTTTTACATTTGGAGATATTTTCTGTTAGACCTATATTTTATTTTATAACCGTCGTTGAACAGCCAACCTAATTTTCGGGTTTACGCCTAATAATGTTCAACTCCATAGCCTCATAATTTTGAACCCCATTCAGAACACAAGGGAACTCCTGGATCAAGTATTAGGAGAAATTTGTCACCATGGAGGACTTTTTGATGGAACTAATCTTAATTTATGTTACATGAAGAGGAAAACCATGAAAACTGTTAGCCTGATGGCAAGGGAACTCTAACGAATGATTCGTCTACCACTGAGGATATTACGCGTCAGCACTGTGGTCGAATTCGTATCGACCTGCCATTACCAGGATTCGGACCCAGTTCACCTCATTAGAAGCCAAACGCTCTATCCCATAGCCTTTGCGGCTCTAGTTTGTCTATTGAAAGAACTCCCCTCGTCATGAAGTCTAAGGCCATTTTGCATTTCAAGGAGGGGAACTTCGTACCTTTTTTCCTTTCTCTCGTCGACCCGAGCCAAAACCCGTCTTAAATAATGATCCAACAAATACTTCAAATAGTTAAGCCTTGTAACCGTAGTTACCACCACTGCATCAGACAAATGTCGTGGGGAGTTCTTTACATAGACAAACTGTATATTATTTGCAATTGTAACGATCAAATTGCGAAGAGTACATCTCCAATGGATTCCATCACATGTTAATATTGGTGGCAACGAGATCGCAGATAGATTGACCAAAGAGGGCAGTGAGGAAAATATGTCCACTGGGTCATCACTTACTTGTCAGGAACTTTACTCCAATGAAAAATATAAGGAAAAAATCAGTCTGGCAAACTCCACCTACACCCCAATGGTACACCGCAACATTTGGCACCCTTCTGTGAATGAATTGCGATCGAAGCTCCTATACTGCCTTGGCCAGATTCTCAACTTGTCACCTAAAATGTCTAACATTCAAACGTGGCACAAAAATTTACCCGACTTAAAAAAAATGCTGTGTCCATCCAGCCTCACCGAAACATATACTTAATTGCGTCGGACAGTCCAGGGCGGACTTAACTTCTGATCCCCTTCTTGTCATCAACTTTCTGGCTGCCAACAACTTTTTGGAGTTGATCTGACTAATGTCAGATCAATGAGGATAAGCATCAACAACAACAAATGACGAAGAATATAAAATTAATTTATAGTTATCAGCCTACCTTGATGGGCTGACTCTCTTAATGAAGTTATATCTATTTTCAGTTTGTTTTGCATATTTTTACACTGCTTTAAAAATAAATATTTATTTTATAGGTAGAATCTCCAAATCAGACAATCAAAGTGGAACAATCACAATCCGATAGAAGTAAAAAGCCATTCCATCCTGTGAGGCAAGCTATCTTAAACATTCATATTGTGTCGTCAGCTATGTTAACTGTACCTTTGTATTAAGAGGACGCCATACTGAGGAGGAAAAATGTCCTTGCAAATTCTCTTTCTCCTTTATAACTAATTTAAAATTTATGGTGCAGAAAATGTGAATTCAGACAAACCTAGAGGAAGCCATAAACTTTCAAATACTGAAAATAAAATTTTGAAATATATGAATGGAAATAATTTATAAGATGATAACTTTGGAACTTCTGAATGCACTAAATTTTATTTTCTTCAAAAATAAAAAATGTTGAAAATTGTTAATTTCAAATTTGAGTCATCTCTTTTTAATTCTTTTAATTTGCACAGGCTCCATTGTCAACTTTTTTCGTTTCACTATCGCCTTTTTACTGGTTATTGTGTATATATTATACTTGCTAAATCAATTATTGATAAAAGGGAAATTTTTTTAGAAAAAGTAAGTTTCTTTAATGGAAAAATATTTTTTTGAATGAAGGAAGTAATTAAAAGTATTTAATTTTCTGCGAATGCACTAATTTTTTTGATGTTAAAATTTAGTGCTAGAACACTAACTTTTATATTTGCCACCACATGACTAAATGGTTCATGGTATATGACAATTGAGTGATTTAATAAAATTTTAGTCATATATTTATGAGTTTTTGTTTTTATTTAGGCAACTATTTTCATAGTTTTCGGCAACTATTNCATACGTCATGCACACGTACATATATCATTGCGCACCCTCCCCACGCATATCATGGCGCACACCTCCACACACATTGTATGTGATGGTAGCCGACGAGGCAGACGGCCTCTTCTAATAAGTTAAGTGTCTTGTATTTTGTGTATTGTCCATAACGTAGTTCTGATGCTCCTTGCCTTTCCCCATATATATTTATGAGTTTTTGTTTTTATTTAGGCAACTATTTTCATAGTTTTCGGCAACTATTTTCATGCTCTGGATAACTAAAAGCAACTATTTTTTTTTTCTTCTGTAGCAACCCTGAATATGCAACGGAGAAGTTCTCTTCTAATAATTTGTTTGCATTTTCATATTTTGAAGTATTTTTCTCAGCAATTGAAACTTCATGAATTACTCTATATTTGTCTGTACTTACTCTTTCTTTTTTTAAAATTAGTAAGGAAAGAGAAAGAGAATTTATGACGAAATGGTTCATCTGCAGTATGACGTCCTCTTAACTGGTTTATGTTAGTTTCTGTATCTCGTCAGGTTGTTATTAAAAGTGCATGATGTAGATCATGCTCATCTTTTTAATTATTAGTTAAAAGACATTTAACCGCACATGTATGTGTTCCCGATTTTCGCTTATAATTTTTTTTTTGCTTATAATTTTTTTTTTTTGCTTATCATTATTTTTTTTTTCTTATCATTTTTTTTTCATTGGTTCTTTCGCGGATTTCCGCTTTTTGCCAGGTTTTTAAATATTTTTCACAGAATTTTTTTTTTGCACAAGTTAAAATATTTTATGAGGAATTAAGTTTTTTATTAAGCGAAAGTATTGAAGTCCTCATTCCTCCCTCCTAAGTTTCTCTAAAATACAACTGGTTGACCTTTCAGGGATGAGATTTTTCCGCTTTTGTCGCTTGAATTTCAGCCTTTTTATCAAAAACTCTGATTCTCTAAAAGTTTCTGTTTTTTTTTATTATAAATATCCCACTTTTTTTTTTTTTTTTTGAAAATTCAGTCATTGAAGTAAAATAATTATATTTATTTCTGAATTTCAAAGATAAACGGAAAATACAAACTACGAATTTATTAAACCAAGAACCCCAATTGATGAACTACCACTTAAAAATATTTATTTGCTGTCCGGTGCAAGTTGGCATCTCTGGGGGAGAAGCATTCTCCCAATTTTTTCCTTTCGCTAAACCACCAGTGGGTTGAATCTGCAGCTTAACACAAATTTTTTATTTTTTTTTTTAATGAATGAATTAATTAATTAGACTTTTTTTTTCTTAAACCTAAAAACATTTTTTTTAATATTTTCATAAATTTTATTAATTTTTTTGAAACTGAAATATTATTATCAAATTATCGTTATATACAAAAGTGTATGTAAGAGAATATAATTCCTAATTCAAATTTATTGAAAAGAAATGCCTAGAGAGAGACACGCTAAATAAAACAAATCACTCATTTAATTGTACAGTTTTTCTAAGTTTAAATTGAATCAATATATGTGTTTTATTGATCTATTATTTTTTTTCCAGGTTGGATTTAATGCCTGATCAAGTAACTAAAATGACAGTGGGTCGTCTTCATTTTAGTGAGACGACATCCAATAATATGAGGAAGAAGGGGAAACCCAATCCTGATCAGCGATACTTTTATCTCGTTGTTAATCTTTGTGTTGCCTCTGGTGACCAAAACTACACAGTTATTTGTCATGCATCTGAAAGAATAATTGTCAGGGTAAGTGAAGTGAAACATTAACAATGCTTAGCTTTTGGGCTATCAAATAGTTTCTGGAGGGTCAAACCTACCTTAATAGGAATTTATCCATGGGTAATCAGGGGTCTGTCCAGGCCGAATTTACTACCGTTTAGCGGTACCTTCACAAATTCAATTTTAGGTAAAACGGTAGTTTCACAAATTCAACTTTAGGAAAAACGGTATTTTCACAAAATACTTTTTCTTAAAATTTTATTTTTGTCTCCCTTAAGAAACGATAAATCTATATTTTTACCATGTTTTAGTGTTGACTTTTTAATATAATTTTTAATTTTTCACAAATTATGTCAAATTTTTCACAGAATAGGTACTTTTAAGAAAAACCTAGACAGACCCCTGGTAATAATTAACAACTGAAAGAAATACAGTCAAACCAAGCTTTAGTGAACCTTCAGGGGACTAAAATTTCGGTTCACTATATCCGTTCCTCAAACAATTTTTACTAATGGTTCTGAACCGCTCCTTTTTGTTAAACATTATTTATATAAATGACCCATTAAAGGAAATACAAAAATGACTAAAAACCAATATGTTGCAACAAAAAAATGTATTAAATTTTGTTTTTTATTACTCTTCGTCTTGATTACAAAAAATTTAGGGATGGGAAATTGAGATAAAAGAAGCAAACACGAAAAATGCTTACGGCTACATTCCACTCTATTGATGGTTTTAAAAATCAGTATATGTATTATATGTGGAAATTTCAAAATTATCAGAAAATGAAGAAAAAAATCAGTCAGAGAGGAAAGAAAGTTCACAATATCCAACTTCTCTTTTTATATCCACGAAAAATAACATTATATGTGTATAGCAAGGAACAGGAGTGAACGTTTTGTTCGCTATATCCGGAAGTTCACTATAAACCGTGTTCACTATAGACCGTGTTCACTATAGTAGGGTTGGACATAAACAAAAACAACAGTTTTTATTGAAAGCAAAAATTACAGTAATGAAAACAGTTCATTAATGATTCCAAATGAATCATGATATTCCAAAATATGGGTAGAATTAACCATAAAACTATTTAATAAATCAAAGTTTATTAACGAAAAACGATGAGCAGGAGAGCAAAATGAAAAGTGAGCGGGAAACGGGGTTGCCGATACCAGCGAAACTCAAAATCGCCAACAGTTTCTTTGGGCAGTTTTATTACGATGAACATGTACCTGTTACATAGCGGGAGCAAATCTAACTAATTTTCTGATAAAACAATAAACTTAAAGGCCTCCTCTTGCAGTGGAGAGGAACATTAAACTTTTAAGGGTGAGCTTGAACCCAAAAGATGTAGGAGTGGTTGCGAAGATTTACATATCAGTATCGGCGTCCGTGTGATTTTCGGTGATGGTGGAGGTTAATTGCATAAGTTGCTCCATATATTTTGTTTCAGATCTGACAAAAACAACATTATTTTCTCCTTTTTAGTCTACTTAAAAAAAATTTCAAGTTTCACTTTTTTCTTTTTTTTTTTTAAAGTTTTGAGCCTTTCTATTAATTTTGCTTATGTCATGGGTTGGTAATTTTTCCATCAATATAAATATGAAAGCCAGTTATTAAAAACGTTATAATATGTACAGAATATCTTTCTTCTAACTAATAAATATTTTTCATATATTTACTCATCGATTTATATTTAAAAAATTAACTAAAAAAAACTTCTTAAATTAAAAATATATGGCTGTTTTACACCTTGTTCCGAATTAATATCTCAAATAAACTGACCTAATGAAGGTCTTAAAAATATTGAAAAATGATGTTATTTTTTATGAAATAAATTTTTGTTGACATCTAATTGATTAATAATTTTATGATAATTGATTAATAATTTTATGATAATTGATTAATAAATTATTAATTTTTATCTGCTGTGTGTGTATTGCAGGCATCAAATCCTGGACAATTTGAGAATGACATGGAATTATCATGGCAAAGAGGTCAATTGGCAGATTCTATTTATCATGCTGTATGTCTTTTTTTTTTTAAATCTATTTTTTCATTCAATTTGATTTTATTACTGAGATCTCTAAATACATTTCTTCATGTTTTTAAATTATCATTATGAATGTGTAACATTTTAATTAATTTCTTTTGATTGTATGAAATATAAATTTGGTTCCAGGACTAATTTTAAGCAAATGTTGAATAGTTTTCCATTTTCGGGTTTTTATTATAGGGCATGAAGGTCACAGAGCTACTGAATATAACAAATGGCAATAAAAAAATTGTCTGCTATTCACAACTTCTTTCGTCGAAAAGGCACCCCATACACATTTTATTATTATTTTTTTAATAAATATGGTATCATTATGAATATTTTATAATATATAGAAAATTACATGCATTTCATGCTTGTTTTTTTTAACACTTTATTTATTTAAGAAATGCTTTACATTATTAGCCGTCGCCAATAGCTCATTGTGCAGCTCTAGTGCGACGTAAATGAATTACAACAACAACACATTATTAGCATCAACAGTTTTTTTATTTGTTTAAAATTTTCAGTTTTTGAAAAAGTGGCCACTGTTTAAATTTCTTCAATCGGACATTGGCTAGTAACAAAATTTCTTAATTTTCTCCCATTCAATATTCAACTCAACAGCTTTGTAAAATTTTGAACTCAATCCAGACCACAAGGGAACTTCTGAATCAAGTAATGAAATTAACTTTCCTCCGTGTGGGACATTTTTGATGGGATTAAACTCATCTGCAGAACATGGAAGTAGACAGCTTTTGCAAAACTTCCCATGGCCAACTTATCCACTCTCAGATTTTAACCAATGATCAATCTACTTTTGGAGATATTTTCTGTTAGACCTATATTTTATTTTATAACCGTCGACCCAATTTTCGGGACTATTAATGTTCAACTCCATAGCCTTGTAATTTTGAACCCCATCCAGAAGACAAGGAAACTCCTGGATCAAGTATTGGGAAAATCACATGGAACTTAAAAACATCCTTTTTTTCTATTTGCATAATTTAAATCTCCATTCATTTAAGCACAATAGATTATCTCGTTTATTTAGAATTCACATGGTTCTATTTTATTTTATAATTTTAGTAAGATGAACAATTCATATCATTTAATGGAATTGAATGTTTTTAAAAGAATACTTTATTGTGATACAGGGTCGTGTAGGAATCAATACTGACAGGCCAGATGAAGCTCTTGTTGTCCATGGTAACATGAAAGTTACTGGCCATATTGTGCAACCATCTGATGCTAGGGCAAAGACAAACATTGAGGAGGTAAATATAATCAATGGAAATCCCTTTTTTTTATATCTTATATATGTCTTATTTATTCTCAGGTTGTGTAATATTTTTCAAAAAAGCTTAATTGTGCTTTTTTTGTTTTCTTTTTTTAAAAGCCTTTACAGTTGCTTTTTTCATTAGTGCTTTTTTCATTTCACTGGCAAGCCAATGACATTATTGCACTGTTCTATTTATTGATCAGTGTCATAATCCTTGAACTTGATGTGGGGATCATTCAATAATTATATATCTTCATGTAGGTCCAGAGCAGTCAACCAGTTTCATCACCTCCAAATTTTCATTTCCCTTTCATTAATTTAATTTAATAAAGATAAGAATTAAATGAGATTTTTAATCACAGGATTTTTAACCGAGGAATCGTCGACTAATTGCATTAAAGCATTAAACGTTTTGAACTTTTTATTGTATTTTATTACTCTTTTACTTATTACTTTTAAAATTTTCTGTGCTCTTATTTTAAGAAAAAACTTAATTATATTATGAGACAAGATATTAAAAAATATATAAATTGAGGGGTTATTTTAACAACTAAGCAAATGTAGTAAAAACTCTTACCTTATTCAGATTTGTCATTCCAAAAAACTTTAGTCCATCTCCTGCTCATTTTTTTAAAAGGAATTGGAATAAAATTTTCAATATTCTCAGATTTAAGATATTAAAAAATATATAAATTGAGGGGTTATTTTAACAACTAAGCAAATGTAGTAAAAACTCTTACCTTATTCAGATTTGTCATTCCAAAAAACTTTAGTCCATCTCCTGCTCATTTTTTTAAAAGGAATTGGAATAAAATTTTCAATATTCTCAGATTTAAGATATTAAAAAATATATAAATTGAGGGGTTATTTTAACAACTAAGCAAATGTAGTAAAAACTCTTACGTTATTCAGATTTGTCATTCCAAAAAACTTTAGTCCATCTCCTGCTCATTTTTAAAAGGAATTGGAATAAAAATTTCGATAATCTCAGATTTGTTAAGTATTATAAATGTAGGGACCATATAATTTACTTCTGACAAAAATGTTTGACTTCAATACTCATTTAATTTATATTTTNAAAAATGCTTTTTTGTTTTCTTTTTTTAAAAGCCTTTTAAAGGTGCTTTTTTCATTGGCTGTTTTTGTAAAGTGTTTAGTTTCTATTTTCCAAAAAAAAAACTTTTTTTTTTTAAGCCCATGTGGATTATTGACACGAATTGTGCAGAAACTTTCACTTTCAATGTTTCCTTCATCATTTTCACAGTACATTTCATAGTTTGTCTAAAGTAAGAAATCCCCTAGCCATTCATCTGGGTCCGTAGAGGTGACTATGGTAACGAGGTATATCTATTTCAAGTAGGGGTGTGAGGTCACGTTTTAGGGCAGGTTTCAGCTCAGGTCAGCGAGAGAAGAGGAATCTTTTACTCCGATCTATTGTGTAAGTCCTAGAGTGAAGACAAGCTACCCTCCCTTAAATGCACCTTTCTTGCTTCCATAGCAGCAGACGGCCTCAGACTTTCTGGCAGGCTGGTTTCTTACCATAGACGAACTACAGCATACCTTCGGTCTGTAGCATATGAAAGCACCAATCATTTTGCGTGTTTGAGGAAATACTTGCGAGTCCACATGTGACACTGATCTGCCTTCAATGGGAAGGATTCTTGCAATCTCATGTGCAACAATGCTGCATTTTGCAAAAGATTCTCGATTTTAGGCTTCATTTTCCAACCTTTGAAAAATCTCTAGAACTTTTGCTGATCATGTGAACCAATTAAACATTGCCGAATAGCTAAAGAAAATTTTATTTCTCTTCTTAATTTCAAAGCTTGCTGAAAGGCTATTGTCTTCGTCACTGGTTTTGTTGCACTGTTCTATTTATAAATCAGTGTCATAATCCTTGAACTTAATGTGGGGATCATTCAATAATTATATATCTTCATGCAGGTTCAGAGCAGTCAAGCAGTTTCGTCACCTCCAAATTTTCATCTCCCTTTTTACTCATTTAATTTAATAAAGATAAGAATTAATTGAGATTTTTGATCGCAAGATTTTTACCCAAGGAATCATCGACTAATTGCATTAAATATTTTAAACTTTTTATTGTACTTTATTACTCTTTTACTTATTACGTTTATTATTGTACTATTACTTTTATTATTGTACTATTACTTTTAAAATTTTCAGTTCTCTTATTTTATGAAAAAACTTAATGATATTTTGAGGCAAGATTTTTAAAAATATATAAATTGAGGGGCTATTTTAACAACTAAGCAAATAAAATCTTGCTTTATTCAGATTCGTCATTCTAAAAAACCTTAGTTCATCTCCTGCTCATTTTTAAAAAGAATTGGAATAAAAATTTAAATAATCTCAGATTTGTTAAATATTATGAATATAGGGATCATATAATTTACTTCTGACAAAAATGTTTGGCTTCAATACTCATTTAATTTATATTTCAAAATTTTAAATCATTTCATTAAAGAAATACTAAGCCAAATTACAAATTTATATAAAAATTAAATAAGCTTCATTCACTAATTGAGTAATCCTCTAATCAGTCTAACTAAAAGCTTATAATCTGATTGTATTAAGCCTAATGAAAATTACTAAGCAGAATAAACAATTAGAATTCCCGAATTAGACTTCCAATGATCCCGCCTTGTTGCAAAATGCTGGCTTTACAAAGAGGGGTACTTTTAAATGATTCTCAGGGACAATTGGATACCTGCAAGTATCTCGATCCTGATTGGTCATTGAAACTTCGCATTTGTTTACGTTAGCAACTGTTCTTTCCTTTCTATTTTGAGTAAGCCAAGTCTGTCGAGTACCAAATCTCTTAAGTAACACAGTCTATATTCCTCCACAAAGATTTCAATTCTTCCAGAATATATATATATATACACAAAGACTAAACCAGGGATTATTGTTTGCCAGAAAAATTCCGGATTTTTCGCTATCCACGATCAGGAAGTTTCCGGAAATCCAAGGTCTAGAAGTTTCAAGAAATCATCGGTCACATTTATGTATAAAAATTCTTGTATATTTTATTTTGAAATATGAGAACTAGAATTTATGCTTGACATCTCTTTCATTTATAAATATTTTTTCTGGTAGAATTATAAATGTTATTAAAATTTAAAAGTAAACTTATACATAGTTATTAATTTAAATTATGCTGCATATAATTTATTTAGAATGTCATGTTTTTAAAATATCAATGATTTAAATTTATGAAGACGCTAATTTTGTGAAATGCGTCATTATTTATTTTAATCGAGAAATTTTCAGGATTTTTGAGATGGGCTCACACTTACCCCTGCTAAACTCAAAGACAAACCCAAAACAATGTAGAACTTAATATGCATTGAAGTTGCCAGGTACAAAAACCCAAGTACCTAATTGATATTTTTTTTCTAATTTGTAAAAATATTGTTTTTCTGTAGGTGGATACAAAAGAGCAGCTGAAAAATGTTGCCAGCATGAGAATTGTGAAATACCAGTATCTTCCAGAATTTGCAAAGCATGTCGGCCTGGGAGAAGAGAGTACAACCAGCACCGGAATCATAGCCCAGGAGGTGCAGAATCTCATTCCTGATGCTGTTCAAGGGGCCGGTGACATTGTTCTCCCAGATGGGCAACACATAGAAAACTTCCTAGTTGTAAATAAAGTATGATACATTCGTCACTCTATATTACAGGGTGTTTCTTAATGACCACCCTAAATGTATTCAGATGTATTTGCAGAATTCCTCTTTTTTTCCCCGCCTGATTCCTATCATAAACTTAGTAGTTTCAAAAAACTCAAAATGGTAATTTTAAAAAGTAGTTGAATTATCTACTCTATCAAATCTGCAGTCTCTGAATTTTAAGGATTCTTGAATCATATTATAAAGAAAAATAATTTTCTGTTGTAAAATCTAAACTTAATTATTTTTAAAAGATGAAATCAAACCAGGGCTCGAAAAACCGCCCGTCCTCGGCGGTCAAAAATTCCCCGCGGGCAACGAATTTCTCAAACCCGACGTCCGCGAGGACGGATATTTTCCCGTCTTGACCTTTGTCATAAAAGAAATACTAGGTTACTATTAGTAACCTAGTATTTCTTTTATCAATGTATAATGTAATCCTAGTAACTACTAATTCATTGTGCAATTTATATAAATGTTTGTAATAAAAACTAGAAAATTATATTTTTATTTATTTAGACGCGACGGGTTAGTTTCAAAGGAGGACGGGTACATTGTTCGACAAGCCGTCCTCGGGGACGGGTAAAATTTCTGAGCTTTTTCGAGCCCTGAATCAAACATTGTATGAGGGAGATTTTTCGTTTCAAAAATTTGATTTGATTTCTTTGTATGACAATATTTAAAATAATTTTTATAGTAAATTAAAAAGTTGTTCGTAAATAAATTTTTTTAAAAATATTTTGTTGCATTTGAAGTTAGTGAAACATTTTAATTGAAATCTTGAATTAAATTGAAATTTTTAAGAAAATATTAAATCTTAGTATGAAATTATTCCAATTGACAGCTAATTAAGTTATGACATTTGGAATCTTATAATAAGAACTGAAATTGCTGAATGTTTATGAAATATATATATATTATTTTTCATTATAATTTATATTTTATTAACTATAATAATTTCTTTAAATTTTGACTTTTATTATAGTTCATAGCCTGTTCAAAAATATGTTCTGTTGCCTTGCAAAATTTAGCTTCATTTTCCAAAATTGCTGAGGCTTATCTGATGTATGCGGAGGGGATTGATGATGACTGCTCTCATTATTTTTTAATTTTCCTTCAAAAATAAAATTAAAAAAATATCTGTACATAACGGATTGCAAATTAATTTCTAAGTCTGGAAAAAGAAACAAAAACGTTATTGAAATCACTAATAAGGAAGGAGAAATGAAATTATTAAAACTTGTTTGATTGTCAAAGAAAACAGAAACGAGTTTAAATTTACTTATTAAAAACACCTTTAAATTTCATCAGGCAATAAAGCTGGCTTTAGAATTTCCAGCTCTGCCTTCATGTACTATAATTTGTTTGATCCTTTTGTTTTTTCAACACTTAAATATTCATTTGTAGCCTCTAATGCACATTTAATGAATATACTCCTCAACTATAATTTGTACTTTTCAGTCTCCATTTTTGATAAGGATATTGAAAATATAGGCATTAAAAGTGATCATTACATTACAAAACACAACACCTTATTTGTTTAAAAACCCTGTTAAAAAAGGAGAAAAAAAACTATACTCAATAGATGTTGCTAACTAGCATATAGCTGTCAACCCTACTACTACCAGTAGACTACTGGATTGTACCATTTTCTCCTGCATGGTGCGTAGAATTTTTAAAAAGTGCTTAAAGGTGCTTCTTTTCGATTTTCATTTTTATAAGCCCTTAAAGGAGCTTTTTTCATTGGGTGTTTTTAAAAAAAGCTCGATTTTTTCTTTTCGAAAATGAGATTTTTTTTCTCTACCCTGTCGATTTTCGGCACGTAATATGCAAAAGCGTGCTTTTTACATTGTTCTGTTCAACATTTTCACGGTTCATTCAACCACAATCCATTTCAACCTTCCATCGGTCCACAGCGTATGAAAGCGGCAATCATTTTACAGATTTGATGAAATACTTGCGAGTTCACATGTTACTGACACCGGTAAGATTCTGGCACTCTCATGTGTAACTCTGTTGCATTTTGCTAGATATGCTCAATTACTTAATTTTCTGAACCGAAAATTCTCTCGATCTTTTTAGGGTGGCTAAATACAATCCAGAAAAGAGTTCTTAGTCAGAAATTAGTTATTTTATCATGATCATGTAAAGTCTTTGAAAATTATTTTGAATTTTCATTATGTATATAGTGCTTAAAAATATTCTTTGAGTGCTTAAAAAGTACTTAAAAGGTGCTTATTTTTTGTTGAAAGATTTTACTACACACCCTGTCCTGGTTTAGTGGTATAATAAAAATTCTCCTGATTTTTTTACATTTTAGAAAATTCCCTTTAATTTGAGTAAGTTTTTGAAGAAAATTCCCATGGGAGTAACATTTTTACACAATTTATCACTTGCTTGAATATTTAAATAAGGATTACTAGTGCATATCACTATCTATTTCTTTTTCTTTGTTCTAAAAATTTAAGTTTATTTTTATTCAGTATACTTACTTTTTAAATTAGGAAATTTTTTAATTATCAATAATGATATGCTTGTCTAATATTACTTAAAATTAAAATTTAACATAATAAAAAAAAAACATTTAAAATTCATTTAACGCAAATCATAAATGGAAAATATCGTAATGGAAGTTATTAGTGTAATAAAATTTTTGTATTTTGATGACAATAAAAATTCCGAAACTTTCCTATATGAAAAATATTTTAAATATTATGGAACAGTTATTGTAAAAATTATATTATTTCCTAAAATCTACTGGATTTTTCTTATCCATATAGGCAGCTATACAATTTTTAAAGGAAATTTCCAAGCTCTGAAAAAATTATTTCAGTTGCAAAAGCAAACAATAGATTTTTTTTTTTAAAATTTTATTTCTAATGGCAAGGCAAAAGGTACAAATAGAAAGATGAAATAAATAACGACTACAAATGTACTTAGGATAACAAAGAAAGAAGACTGAAGTCATTGCCTTGAAAGTTCTCTTGTTTCCCAATAGATGCAAACAATAGATTAAAACCCTAAAAAAAAAATCTAGTTTGTTCCTGGTGAGACTATGATGTGTTTATTTTTTATTAGGAACTGTGTTCAAGCTTTTATTTTCAATTTTGGTGTTGGATTATTTAAATCTGCCTGTTACTCTTATTGATCTGAATAGTGATTCTCCAAATTTTAAAACATATTTTGTTTTTTCTCAGTTATATATTTGGGTGGAACAACCTGCATTCAACTTAACCTCTTCTGCCTATTTATTTCTACTGATTTCATACAAATATTTTTGTATGATCATTTAAGTTAATGATTTAATCAGTATTTAAAAATAAATTTTAATTTATACTAACTACATAGAACATGTTTATTCTAAATCAGTTTAACTAAATATAAAATAAGAGTACTTGTGTTATAGTAATTAATGATCTCTAGTAGAAAATATTAAATGGAAGTAAAAAAGCTCGAACTTACTTTTTTTAGTTGAAAATAAACTATTTTACACATACATAGCCAAATAAGGGATAACTCTCAAAACATGGCAAACCTTACACTTTATTTATGCTGTGATATTTATTTTGTTAAGTTTGTTAGGCTCCCGATCTGTTAGAATTTTAAAAAAACAGTAAACTCTTATAAATGGTAAAATTACGCATAAATTTAAGTACAAATCATAATAATAAAACTTCCTGGAATATGAAGCCTGTTCACGCATCCCTTCATAAGCATAACATAAGGGGAGGGATACACCGGAAGTTTTTTAAATTTCTTCCAGTTCTAGGAAGCTTGTTATTGTTTATATTCATTCAACCATAAATATAAAATAATATATATTTCATTCTATGTTTTGGCAGTCATTATAAGTGGCTCCACCTGTATCAGGTTGTCATAATTTACTGTATATTTACTTTAAATAAAGTCTTATAAAAATTTTAATAAATTTTTTGATAGATATTAATAAATTGTCTTAGTTCTAAAGGTATTGTTCTATTTTACAGGACAGAATATTTATGGAAAATGTTGGTGCTGTGAAAGAACTGTGTAAAGTGACTGACAATTTAGGAACGCGCATCGACGAACTTGAAAAAGTCAACAAAAAACTTGTTAAACACAAAGTGAAACGACTCGATAGTTTAAAGTCTACATCAAGTGGGAGCACAGTAACTAGGTAATATTATTCTTAAGGAAAAAAATTAATGCAGGGCACTAGAATAAAATTTCATTCTTGGTTGTAAATTCTTCTTACTAAACGCATGCCTTGCTGATAAAAAATTAAATTTCATATTTTGATTATTAAATTAGGATTCTTTAATTCTTTGAAAGTTTTTAATTCATAAAACTTTTTTAAGGCTTCTCAGGTATGAAATTATTCCTCTGATCTATGGTTTTCATTTTTTTTTTATTGTTTCCTACCTTTTTTTTTTAAAAAAAAAAAGAAGTTTTTGTTAAAAAAGAAAAAAGTCCAAAACTGCAGAACAAAAACTGTGAATTTCATCAAAATCTAGACCATTGTCATGAAACATTACCTTTTGAAAATTAATAGATTAAATTTCTTTTTGGTGAAATTTCCTGAGTAAAAATTGTATTAAAAAAAAAGATTTTTTTTTTCAAATTGTTTACATTTTGAGTATTTTGTTGAGTAAAAAAAAATGTACTTAGGATTCATTCCTTGTATTTTGCAAAATATTTTGAAAAGATTTTTTTCTTAAGTTAATTATCTCCTGCTATTTGCTTTTAACAATATTCATGGTGCATGGCGTTTTTAAAAAGTGCTTAAAGGTGCTTATTTTTGGCTTTCGTTTTTTAAAAGCCCTTAAAGGTGCTTTTTTCATTTGGTGGTTTTAAAAAGTGCTTAATTTTCCCTTTCCGAAAATGAAAATTTTTTTCTTTACCATGTCGATTTTCGCCACGTATTAACCAAAAGTGTGTTTTTCACATTGTTCAATGTTTTCACAATTCATTCAACCACAATCTATTTCGGCGTACTGTCGGTCCATTGCGTATGAAAGCGCCAATAATTTTGCATATTTGATGAAATACTTGCGAGTCTGCATCTGCGTCTACTGAGCTGGGTTCAGTGAGATTATTGCACTTTCATGTGCAACTCTGCTGGATTTTGCAAGATATTCTCAATTTCAGACTTCATTTCCCCCCCTCTGATATGGAATCGAAAAATCTCTTGATCATTTTATAACGGCTAATATGATCAAGAAAAGAGTTCTTTGTAAGAAACTGGTTATTTTATCATGATTATCTAATGTCTTTGAAAATTATTTTGCATTTTTTTAATGTATATGTTACCGTTAAAGTATGAAATTCGTTATTTTATAGAATACCTAGTTATTCCATGAAATAACTGATCGTGTCCGTTAAAGTGTAAAACTCTCTTGTATTTCATGGTTTAACTAGTTATTTCATAGAATAACGATCTGCAGTCCGTTAAAGTGTAAAATAATCTATATCATATAGTATCTCTCACCACAGTTTAAGTTTAGGTACTGGTCAGGGATTTAAAAAATGTTTGTGTAAAACCCAGTGTGTCAACAAAAAATGTTTTTGTTTAATAAATAATGTTCTTTGTAATTCCAAGTGTCATTTTAGTAATCCTTGTTGTAACAAATGATTTTATGGTATGTTTCCATAAATACCATTTATGCGCTGCATAAATGAGATAAATTGCTTCTTTTTCATTTTAATTGTCTATCATTAGTTTATTTATAGAATACCTAGTTATTTCATTTTAGATAAATTGTTTATTTTACACTTTAACTGTCTCTCATTAGTTAATTTATAGAATACCTAGTTATTTCATAGAATAACTAGTTAAAGTGTCAAATTAATAACATATTACACACTTTAACGGACACGATCAGTTATTTCATGGAATAACTAGGTATT